ACATCCATCAAAACGTCACTGCGCCGAGGATCTCGCGTTGAGAGCTCTGCGCTTCCATCTCTCAAGGTTGTTTCTCGTGCAATTGCTGCCAAAGGGCCGTGCGTGCATCATGGAGGAGGTGGCCGGGGAGGTGAAGGTGGATCGAGGAGGGCATCATGAAGTACGTTACGGAGGAGGTCAAAAAGCAACTCACATAAGCTGTTGGTCGTCCCCATGGCGCCCAATAGCGCGCCCAATCCCGCGCAAAATGGACACATTGCATCCCCCTCGCAAAGCCCTGTGCGGCGCTGTTGCTCGCGAGTGGGCGCTATTTGAGCGCTATTCTGCACTACTGGGCGCTAGTGGGCGGTATTCGCCATTCAATCCAAGCGAGCGGAAGTTTCCGTGACTGACGGTGTAAAGGAGGAAGAGTCGGAGGTGGATCGAGGATCGAGGATCGAGGGCCCAGGATTCTGAACGCTTTGGGGCCGTCTTGGGACTGTGGAGGCCTCTGGAGGCCTCCCAGAGGCCTCCCAGGACCCCCCAGGGACACTAAGGACCTCTGCACGGGAGGCCTCCAGAGGTCTCTGAGGCCCCCTGGAGACCTTCGCGAAGGAAAGAAGATGGAGGAGGAAGGAAGAGAAACAGGGGGAAGGGATTCTAACGTCGCCGTCGTCGTCGTCGCAGCCGTCGTGATGACAGTGTGGCACTTCAGCTGGGAGTCTCGCGACACGAAGACCCGGCCACCAACGAAAGCGAGGTGCTGAAGTTATTTGAGACATGGCCCTGCCTCGTCACGTATTTGCTGTGCCGTGGCAGAGCGAGGTAGGAATGGCGGCAGGCGGCACGCATCTGGGTTGTGGGCACCTCGCTGAAGATGGTGCGCCGTATCCGCTAATGCGTACGACGTCGACGGGCTGTGCGGAATCCTGCTTCCAGCCGAGGGGTCTGGCAAATCACCCGTCGGTCGGAAGTAGGTAGAAGCATGACGTCGGAAGGCGTTGGAAGCAGATTTGGCTTCCACCCGCTCCCTGAATAGGAAAGAAGAGGGGAAACCACTCGATCATTGAAGTAGGAAGGCGCCTAAAGTTGATTGGAATCTGGGAATCTACAAATTCCTACGTCAACGACCGGCGTGTACGTGAAACCGAGTTTGGGTGTGTCAGGGCCGCCAGCGAGTGCAAGCAGTGCTCACCTCGACGAGGCTGCTTGCAGGCCCGTCGCCGAATCTCGCCATGGGATTGCGTCGTGCGTAGCGAGGAGCGCCGATCAAAACTGCACTGGCGGGAGCGCCCAAGTCCGACCGCCAGGCGGGTTCGATTGACGGGATCGGCGAGGTTACTGTGCGACCCGCGCCAGAGAAGCGAGCCTTTGCGGCGTCGTTGGTTCATGTGGTTCCAAGAGGGGCCCCCAGGGAAGGGAACTTTTGAGACGGGCGATGCGGATGTCTCGGGTCCGCTCGGCCTCGCCCACAGGGTCGCTGCGCGACGCGTTCGCTCGCACTCTTCGAGGTCTCAACTGCAACGCCGCGGTCTCAGAAGTCCCTTTCGCTGGCGTCCCTTTTGGAAACATACCACTAGTGACCAGTGGGCCATGGTCTCAGGCGCACAGGACTGACGCGGCCATGGCGGACTCCGACGCCCGAGTCACCTGCGGAGTGCGTGGGGCCCCTCTTCATGGACTCTGCGACTGGGGCACACTTCGGCTTTGGGCGCTGGACCGAGAAGTGACGAAAGAGCCACACACACACAAACCTAGAGGGAGGAGGAATGAGGAAGGCCGAGGAGAAGAAGACGCTACGGGTAAGGGCGCGGGCTGGGCTGCCGGACCCCGAAGGGGGGGCTCGCGCTCGAGCGAGGGCCCCGCCACACAGCGCGCCCCCGTGGCCCTCACGGCCGCGACCGCGAGGAGTGCGCACGTGCCTGCCGCCGCCGCCGCAGCGGTGCCCCGCGCCACCGCCGAGGGGCACCCCGCCGGCCTGCGAGGCCAGACGTCGCCTGCTGCAGGGGCGAGGCGCTCCTGGGCGGGCCGGCCCACGAGGAAGTCGGGCGCGTCCGCCTACAGGGGGACCGTGGGCGAAAAATCAAACGTGCTCAAAAAATGCCCCCAATATCGTCAAAACATACTGGACAAAAAAGTCGTCCCCCCACAATGTCTGTACTGTTTGTGGACATCCCTCCTGTGGAGGGGCAAGCCCGACTTAAGCCTACGGGGCGGAGCGCGGGGGTTACGAGTCCGCGCGTGCGGCTCAGGAAGGCATCGTGGAGCTCCACATCACACGTCTGGCTCTGGCATGCTGCGCGGGCCGTTCGTGGACGTCGACGGAGGCAAGCTCACGACACTCGTCGTGCGGCTGCAGCGCGCGGCGCCGCCCATGACATCAGTGGTCGCCTCGAAGTTCGTCTCTCTGGGCGTAACGCAAGAGGGACCAGAGCTGACCGCCAGGTACTGCGACCGCGCCTCTGGAGCCGTGGCGGTTGTTGGACGACTTCAGCAGCCTCGGCGATGGCGGGCTGAAGATGGGTCCAGGCTCTCTGCATAGAGCGGCTGCTGTCGGAGTAGCGCGTGCCGAGGAGGGACCACTGCGGCAACAAGCTGGTGTTAGGTCGGGCGTGTCATCCTACAATCGGCCTTTGGACGAAAAATAAAGAGAGTCAGAACTAATCCGAAAGTGCTAAACAAATATTCCAACAATCGTCCCCAGACTCTTCTTCTTGACTATTTCCCAACCATCCTGTGGTGTTGGGTCCTCGTTTTGAAGAGACAGCGCCCCGCGTTCACTCCTCCCGCTGCCCGCGCCCGCATGCGTCACCCACACCCAATTCGGCACACCCCTCACACGTTTCGTGGCCCCATAGGGAGCTCCACCGAAGGCCCCAGTGCTGCGCCCGCATGCGGCCCCCCCCAATTCTGGCACACCCCTCCACGTTTCGTGGCCCCATAGGGAGCTCCACCGAAGGCCCCAGTGCCCGCGCCCGCATGGCGGCCCACCCACACCCATTTCGGCACACCCCTCACACGTTCGTGGCTCCATAGGGAGCTCCACCGAAGGCCCCAGTGCCCGCGCCCGCATGCGTCACCCACACCCATTTCGGCACACCCCTCACACGCTTCGTGGCTCCATAGGGAGCTCCACCGAAGGCCCCAGTGCCCGCGCCCGCATGCGTCACCCACACCCATTTCGGCACACCCCTCACACGCTTCGTGGCTCCATAGGGAGCTCCACCGAAGGCCCCAGTGCCCGCGCCCGCATGCGTCACCCACACCCATTTCGGCACACCCCTCACACGTTTCGTGGCTCCATAGGGAGCTCCACCGAAGGCCCCAGTGCCCGCGCCCGCATGCGTCACCCACACCCATTTCGGCACACCCCTCACACGTTTCGTGGCTCCATAGGGAGCTCCACCGAAGGCCCCAGTGCCCGCGCCCGCATGCGTCACCCCACACCCATTTCGGCACACCCCTCACACGTTTCGTGGCTCCATAGGGAGCTCCGCCGAAGGCCCCAGTGCCCGCGCCCGCATGCGTCACCCACACCCATTTCGGCACACCCCTCACACGTTTCGTGCTCCATAGGGAACTCCACCGAAGGCCCCAGTGCCCGCGCCCGCATGCGTCACCCACACCCATTTCGGCACACCCCTCACACGTTTCGTGGCTCCATAGGGAGCTCCACCGAAGGCCCCAGTGCCCGCGCCCGCATGCGTCACCCACACCCAAGTCGGCACACCCCTCACACGTTTCGTGGCCCCATAGGGAAGCTCCGCCGAAGGCCCCAGTGCTGCCGCCCGCATGCGTCACCCACACCCATTTCGGCACACCCCTCACACGTTTCGTGGCCCCATAGGGAGCTCCGCCGAAGGCCCCAGTGCCCGCGCCCGCATGCGTCACCCACACCCATTTCGGCACACCCCTCACGCGTTCCGTGGCTCCATAGGGAGCTCCACCGAAGGCCCCAGTGCCCGCGCCCGCATGCGTCAGCCACCCCATTTCGGCCCACCCCTCACACGTTTCGTGGCTCCATAGGGAGCTCCACCGAAGGCCCCAGTGCCCGCGCCCAGCATGCGTCACCCACACCCATTTCGGCACACCCCTCACACGTTTCGTGGCTCCATAGGGAGCTCCACCGAAGGCCCCAGTGCCCGCGCCCGCATGCGTCAGCCACACCCATTTCGGCACGCCCCTCACGCGTTCCGTGGCCCCATAGGGAGCTCCGCCGAAGGTCCCAGTGGGTGTGCCCGCATGCGTCCCGCACACCCATTTCGGCACACCCCTCACACGTTTCGTGGCCCCATAGGGAGCTCCACCGAAGGCCCCAGTGGGTGTGCCCGCATGCGTCCCGCACACCCATTTCGGCACACCCCTCGTACGTTTCGTGGCCCCGTAGGGGGCTCCACCGAGAAGATATTCACAATTGCAGTATTCACAATTGCATATGGTTGGGTCCTTCGCCAGGATATTTTTTGTTTTTCCTCCTGTAGAGGGACAAGCCCGACTTGAAGCTAGTGGGCGCGGCCTCGAATGAGGGGCAACGATAGGGGGGGATGGGCACAGGGGGGGATGCATCGACCTGGAATCGGCGATACCTCGCCGATACTCGCCGATAGGTCGGCAACAGGCCCCCGAGAGTGAGAGAGTGACTCCGCACCTTCCTGGGCGGGGCGGGGCAATCGGGTCCCCCTCGGCGAGCAGTGGGCGATCGAGGGTCGATGCATCCCCCGCCTGCGCCTATCCCCCCCTGTCGCTGCCCCTGATCAAAGCTGGCTGCGGCGTTCGGCGCGTATCCACCTCGGCCCTCGGCCGGCGGCGGCGCCCGCAGGCCGGAGCACGGCCTCTCGCAGACGGCGGCGCCCTGCGGAGCGCTGCGGCGGGACGGCGCCGACACTGCCAACGGCAAGGCCAAGCCTTGGGCCGGGCATGTGCCCCTGCAGGGCGATTTTGCAAGGCGATTTTGGATGAAAAACAAAAAAAATGCCAACGGACTATGTTTTGACTGTTTTTGCGTATTCCCCCTGTAGAGGGACAGGCCCGACTTGATGCCAACGGCAAGGCCAAGCCGCAGCGTGCGGCCAGGCCTACGGGCACTTCTCCACGCCAGGTGGAACAGCAGGAGCAAAAACGCCAAAAGGATCTGCGCTGGAGCCCCCTCCCTGGCGTGCGGAGCGCGGTAGGGGCGGCGCTGGAGGCGCCGCCGGGGGGGGGCCCCAGCGCGGATCCAAGAAATCCACGCGGAGCGCCAAAAGTTTATGTTTATGGCGTTTTCTTGTCTTTGATGGAAGTCGGGTCCATCTGCAGGGGGCCGGCGCAGAGACGAGGCGAGAGGTGCAGAGGGCAAGGCCATCAGAGCGGGTACCCTGGGGCTTGGCAGCCCGTGGTGACGACAGGGCCACTGCTTCACCGGTGCGGCTTTGCCGTCGTGATTGCTGGTTCTGGCGCCGTTCTGCTCCTGGCCGCCGCCGTGGTTGTTCCCATTGCCGGTTCTGCTTCCAATCCCAGGGCAGTTTTCCCCCGTTTCCTGGGCCGTTGTTTTACTGCTCCCACCGTCAAGAAGCATGTTGACAACGCCCCCCCCCGAAGAAAAAGGCCCTGCCGCTTCTGGGGCCTACTCATGTCTTGTGTCCTGGAGCCATAATTTTACTGCTCATGTTCCTGAAACATGTGTTGAAAACGAGCCCCAAAAACGGCCCTGCCGCTTCCAGGGCCCGCTGAGGTGCTGGGCCAGGCGACCGGCGTGAGCCACACCGCCGCGCAGGGCGACGGCATAACCGAACGCCGACCGAGCCGACAGCGACACCGAAACCGATGGAAGCCGACAGGCCGAAAGCGGCCTAGAAGGGCGCGGCGACGCGGCCATCGACACAACAACCGACGGAGCCGAACCGACCGAACGCCACCGAGCGCTAACCGACTGCGATCCATGTTTGAATTCTCATCTTTCTCTGTGCTTCCGTTAGCTCATGGCGGCGCAAGGAGTCCCCAAAGCCTCAAGGACAGGGTTGGACCTAAACAGTGTTTTTCGTCTCGAATCCGCCTTTACCGCGAAACGAAATCCAGCCGAGCCGACGGAACCGTGAACGCCCCATGGGTGCACGGCACGCACCTCGCCAGGCAGGCGCCAGTGGCTGTTTCGCTCGGCGCGCGGGGCCGTGGCGGCGACCCCTCTCGCGCGCTTCTGAAGGGGGCCTCCCGCGTGGGGTGCGGGCAGACGGGGCTGGAGGGCCGCGCCGCATCGCCGACGCACCTCCGATGCCTCGGCGACGCATCGGCGACGCCTGCGCTGCACCGGCGACGCCCGGGGAGGAGATCGGGCTCCACACCGAGCCGCATGGGCGATGCGTCGGCAAGGCGGTGCGATCCTCCGACCCCATCGGCTCGGGCCCCACATGGGAGGCCTCGAGCTTCGCGCCGCGCGAGGGCGCCGGGATTTTGTTCTCGGGGGCCTCCGCAACGGGGGCGTCCCAGAGGGGGCTTCGCAGACCATTGGCCGCAGGCACGTGCGCGCACGCGGGGGGGGCGGCCAGGACGCAGTGAGAGCAGAGGAGAGGGGGCCACGAAATCCGTAGCTTGGCCCTGGCCATGGCATCCACCCCCGCCTGGTCGTCACCCCCTCTTCGCCGCCCCGAAGGACTTCCTTCACGGCACGCACAGCCAAGTCGCAGAATTGAGGATGCGCGGTGATGACGCAAGGGCCTCGGAGGGCCACGCTGGCGTTTTCGAACGGGGCTGGCCAACGGAAGTCGCACAGGATGGACCGAAGGGCCAAGTGTAGTGGGGGAAACAATCGGGTACCAATACCGCTACTCCCCGGACCTCTCCCGGGGTGCTCTCTGACTAGAACTTCGAAGCGAATCCAGCGGTGGCGACGAGGGCCTCCTGGGAGGCCCAAACAAGGGAAAACGGTCGAAGGGTAGCAGCACAGCCGGACCTAGGACAGAAGAACACCCTTCCAGACTACGGGACCCTCCGCTGGCCAAACTGAAGAGCACTCGAGGGTACCCTCCCCAGGATGCACAAGAAACTCCACCAACAAACACGGAACACACGAGGGGACCTTCCCCGACCCGACCTCGATCGTATGCCTCGGTCCGACTGCAGCGTTGGGAAGCTGCTCATCCTCACTGTGCGCCTGGACGGGGCAGGGCGAGGTGGGAGCGGCGGCGAGCCACCGCGCGACGCGCGCTCCGCCTCGAAGCCCTCGCGTGCGTGCCGCACCTCTGGAGCAGGGCAGAGCTCTCGGGCCCAGGCCGCCAGGCGCGAACCGCGCCCATTTTCGCGCCCCTAAGGGCGGCACCTGAGCGACCAAGAAGGAACGGGCCGCACGCGAGATGACACAGCACGACTTGCGCGTCCCCCTCCCACTCCTCCTCCTCGTCCTCCTCCTCCTGCTCCTGCTCCTCCTGCTCATGCTCATCCTCCTCCTCCTCCTCCTCCTCCTCCTCATCATCATCATCATCATCATCATCAGCAGCATCATCATCAGCATCATCATCATCGTCATCATCACAATCATAATAATCATCATCAGCATCATCATCATCGTCGTCGTCATCATAATCATCATCATCATCCTCCTCCTCCTCATCATCATCATCATCACCATCATCACCACCACCACCATCACCATCAACATCACCATCACTCCTCATCCTCCTCCTCCTGCTCCTCCTCCTCCTCCTCCTGCTCGAATCTCGAAGCTGCGGCCATTAGTCACTCGAAGCAGCCCTACTGCCCTCCTCCTCCTCCTCCTCCTCCTCCTCCACCTCATCTTCCTCACTATTCCTCCTCATCCTCCTTCCTCCTCTTCCGTCTCCCCCCCACTCCTCACTCCTCACTCCTCCCTCTTTACCCTCCTCCTCCTCCCCTCCTCCGCCCTCCCCTCCCCTCATCTTCGTCCCCTCCTCCCCAACTTCTCCCTCCATCCTTTGTCCATACGACTAACTCTTACCTAGGGCGGGCGGGGCGTGTCATCTGGTACTCCTCCCAACGTATGATCCTGGAGCCTGAATTCTGCAACAGATCCAAGGATGGAGGGTGGTGTTCAAACTGTGGCTCTAGCCTTAGCGCCACACACACACACACACACACACTCGTCTTGAAAGTGTGCAACAGCTCCAAAGATGGATGGCGGGTCCTTTTCAAAATGGGGCTCTCGCGTTAGCGTCGCGCAAACTCGTCTTGAAAGTGTGCAACAGTTTCAAAGATGGATGGCGGGTCCTTTTCAAAATGGGGCTCTCGCGTTAGCGTCGCGCAAACTCGTCTTGAAAGTGTGCAACAGTTTCAAAGATGACGGGTCCTTTTCGAAATAGGGCTTTTGCGTTAGCGTCGCGCACATTCGTCTCAAAACTTGCAGCAGCTTCAAGGATGGAGGCGGGGCGCAGTCAAGATGAGGCCCTGGCCCTGGCGCCGCGAACATCCGCTGCAAAAGCTCGCAGCAGTCGCAAGAATGGCGCACAGCTCTCGCTCTCAAGACCGGGCTCGCACATGAGCACCGCGCCAACTCGTTGTGAAAGCTTGCAGCAGGTAGAAGGATGGAGCACAGCTCGTTTCCAAGACGGAGCTCGCGCCTTGCAGTCAACCCGTATCGTGAGGATGCGCGGTCAGGATGCATGGGCCTTGGAGGCCCATGTTAAATTAAAGTTTTTCGAACCAGGCTGGCCAGCGAAAGTCGCTAAGGACGGGCCGAAGGGGCAAGGATGCAAGGGTACCCTTGGGAAGGTTGCCCCTCCTCACTATGCGGGTTGACTGTGGCATCGCGCGCATGCGCCGTGAAAGCTTGTCACGGGTAGCAGGACGGAAGACGATGATTGAAAAATAGATCGGAATATCGACGGAGATGTCCTCGAACTCGAGACCCGTGACATGCTCCACGTTAAAGGCCCCCGATGGAAAAATCCCGCGGAACAGACAGTCTCGAGGGGGGCTCGCCAAGATGACAGGCCCACACGGCGCCGGTGCCTTTCAAGGGGGCACCCCTTGAAGTGAAAAAGAAATCGCGCAGGGACGTTTGAGTAGGGGACTAAGGACAGGTGGTTGTGCTGCAGCATCGCTGATACATTTTGGATTTACTCTGGTCCCTCCTCCTCCTCCTCCTCCTCCTCCTCCTCCTCCTCCTCCTCGGCAGTCCTGACGTCTGGGCGACGTAGGCGTCCGGTGGCAGCGATAGCATATTGCCACCAAGCTCGAACATTAGCGAGGGGAGCCGCGACAGATCGCAGTCGGCGCCCATGTTCGCGACGATGTCCTCCCAGGGACAGGGGGGAGCAGGAAAGACGAGAGGGTCGTAGAAGGTGGGTGGAGGCAGAGGTGGGGCTAGAGTGAAGTCGCTCCAAGCTGCTCCTGGAGAGAGAAGCTGTGAGCATCCAGCTGGGTTCGCTCCCCAAGATAGCCCTGGGATGAGCCCCCGCCCTACGAAGCCCCCAAGGGAGGATGGATCGGCGACTCCGAAGGGCGTGGTTTGCACAGGGTGTGTTTTGCAGCCCGCACCCTGGGAGGTGTGCGAGGACCTCGCCAGAGTTCTCCGCCGCGCCCCGAGGAGGCCCGACGAGGGCAGCGTGGTGACCGCCAAGCCCCGACGACGCAGATCGCAAACCGCAAGCCACCATTTGTAGCCGCCGGACGGAGCCTTCGGTGGCAACTCATCGGAACCTCCGATGCCATCTTGCTGGCTCTTGCGAATCGACGGCAATCGACGCTGCTCGACGCGAATCGACGCTAAACTTAAGTCGGGCCTGTCCCTCTACAGGGGGAATATCCAAAAATAGTCCAAAAATAGTCTGGAGTCTGGGGACTATTCTTTGCGCATTTTTGACCATTTGGGAATATTTTTGGGGCATTTTTAATCTTTCATCGACACTCCCCCTGTAGGGGAACCCGCCCGACTTAACGCTAAATGGACGCTAATCGACGCTAAATCGGCGCTGCCTCCTCGATCTCCAAAGACGCCGGCGCACGCACTGCGAGGACACGCAGGGCTCCTACTCGCCATCGCGCGGACGTCCGTTTCCCGTGCACTCTTCGGCTGCGCTCGCTGCTGGCCTCGCAGGGTGATCCGGGATGCTCCCCGATGGCCCTCGCGAGGGAAAAATGCGCACACGTCCGAGGGAAGCAGAGCCCAGGAGCTGCTGCCGAAGGGGTCGGGGGCGTCCAAGGAGGGGGGTGCCCAAGAGGGGGGGGTGCGCGCATCATGGCCCGAGGCGAGTGCGCGGCCAAGGGGTGGGGGCGCCCAGGGGATGGAAGCGGGACCATGACATCTGCGGGGATATCGTGGCCCTGGCCATGATACCCACCCCCTCCTCCTCCTCCTCCTCCTCCTCCTCCTCCTCCCTCCTCCTCCTCCTCCTCCTCCTCCTCCTCTTCCTCCTCCTCCTCCTCCTCCTCCTCCTCCTCCTCCTCCTCCTCCTCCTTCGTCGTCACACCCCCCTCTAGGCCGCCCCGACCTTGCCCGCGACGCGCGCACGTCTAAGGAGGCCCTCGCGCCCGCCTCCCGCTCGGCATCGCCGGGCCGACCCCCTCGACGGCGGGCGGGCCCCGCGACGTCGACGTCAACGTCGACGTCGACGTCAACGACGACGACGACGTCGACGTCGACGTCGACGTCGACGTCGACGTCGACGTCGACGACGACGACGACGACGACGTCGACGACGACGACGACGAAGACGAAGACGGCGACGACGACGACGACGACGACGACGACGACGACGACGACGACGACGACGACGACGACGACGGCGACGGCGCGTCAGAATCGATGCCGAGTCGGATCGATCGCATCGAGACGGGCCCTGGAGCCTCGCTTCTGGACGCCCGGGATGGGTACGGAGAAAACGGGTACAATGGCCAACAACAAATGCTGTCCAGAACCCACAGCGGCCGCTGTCTTCTATCGACAGCGTCCGCGGCGGTGCGGCCAGCGAGTCCTGGTCCAAGTGAACACAACCTGCTGTCGGTCTGTCTACCCATTCTTGCCGTACCCATTTCGATCGTCCCGGGGGGCGGGGATCTGGCGCAACCTATATCGCAACCTATCGAAGGTAGACAGAGTGGGGAAATTGCGATTTAGTAGTGCGCGGGTGTCTGACGTAACTAATGGGGAAGCTTGTGAAGATAAACAGGATGGGAATCGCGAATCTGCGGTGCTCGGGGTGTCTGGTGCAACCTACGGCGCAGCGTATGGCGCAACCTAAACAAGTTGAGCAGAAGGGGGAAATCGCAAGTTGGTAGTGCGCGGGGTGTCGGGTGCAACCTGCGTCGCAACCCGTGGAGCGGGGCGTGCCGCGCCAACAGTGGTTCCACCCATGGCGCAACCTGCAGCGCAACCTATGAAAGTTAGAACGAGGGGCAATCGCGATTTAGTGGTGCGCGGGGTGTCCATGCCATATCCCATAGAACGCAAGCGGAATGAGCATCGCGCTTTGGCCGTGCGTGGTGTCTGGCGCGACCTATAGCAAACCTATGGCGCAACACGTGAAATGCAGAACGGGTGGAAAACTGCGACTTGGTGATGCGCGGGGTGCATGGCGCAACCCATGGCTGAGATTGCGCAAGGTAGTTAGGGTAGGGTGGAGAAGGACGAGGAAAAGGAAAAGAAAGAAGAAGGAGCTGCAGCCCACGCCCGCCGGCCTGGATCTTCTCGACGACCCCCTTCGGCACCGCAAGCAGGGAGGTTCCGCTGTCCACCAGCGCGGTGCACTGCTTGCCTGGTGGCTCATCGGTCCCCCCTCGACCATCCCCCCCTCGTCGTCCTCCCCACCACCACCAGAACCACCATCATCATCATCATCATCATCATCACCACCACCACCACCACCACCACCACCACCATCATCATCATCATCATCATCATCATCATCGGAAACACCACCACCGTCATGATCTTCATCTGCATAAGCACTATCACCATCAACATCATCATCATGATCATCATCATCATCATCATCACCACCACCACCACGACCATCATCGTCACCATCATCGCCATGTTCATGATTAGCGTCATCGTGATCATCATCATCATCATCATCATCATCATCATCAGCAGCAGCAGCATCATCATCATCAGCATCATCATCATCACCATCATCATCATCAGCAGCATCATCATTATCATCCTTCCCCTCACTCCCCCTGCCCCCATTCCTCATACCACTTCTGCTCATGGGAGAGCCGTCGAAACAGTCGATCTTGTTATCGGTGAAAGTGCCAGGCTTGGTCAACCTCACGTTGGAGAGCGCGACACTCCTCCCGGTCCAGGTAAGGAAGGATGAGCTGCAACGCGGGGGGGGGGCGGGGGGCGGGGGGGGGGGGG